CTCCGCTCGGTGCCCGGTGCACCGTGGGGACTCGAGCAGTGCAGGTGTCATTCATCCTGCAGCGGCAGTGGGGAGCCAAGGGACAGCGTCCCGGGGCATCTCGGTCGAGAGAGGGTCTCCATCAAGAGAGCGGCGCCCCACCCGCCTTTCAGCAGAGGTGAAGCGGAGATCACCTCTGTGTGGATTCGTGTGACTGGGTCCTAAGCACTAGTCCCAGAGGGCACATAAATATTATATGCAAGTATTTTTAAGTCATTTCATCATGAAAAGAAGCGATTTAACATAACTATTACCCTGGATTCTTCATGAAATATGCATCAAGCAATTAGGTCTAAAAGCGAGAGGTGAGGCCTCGCACCCTGCTCGGCCGGCAGCTGTGGGCTGAGTGATGTTTTATTAAAGCCCATGATTATGAGACGAGGTGGGGCCTGTTATTAGGCCCCGCACGCCAGGCATGTTTGATAATCCTAGTGATGAGGAGGTGCTTTTTGTGATGATAATGAGCGATCTGAGCGCCATGACAGCCCCGGCACCCCCCAGCCTCTGTGAGCCTTACAAGACTCATTAGACAGGTCACCCACAGGAGACATCCCTAATTGTGACTTTGCTCTTGCAAGATGTCCTATCAAAGGAGATAGGGCTGACACAGGAGCTTGGCAGGTGGTGACAGCCCTTCTGAACTCCCCAGGGACCGGTGCCTTTCCAGGAGCAACGATGCAGAGGTGGGGTGGCCCGGGGCGCAAGGGCCCTGGGTGCTGCCTGTAGCTGAAGCCCACGTTGCTGTGTGCACTGGGCCGGAGTGTTGCTGTCTCTGAACTCAGTGTCCACCGAAGTACCCCAGGAGCATGAGAGCATGTGGTCCCCAGGCTGCTCTCGCCCCGGAAGCACTCCGTCCTCAGCAGCCATAGCATCCCTGTGTGTGCGGGTTATCCGACACACCCTCTGTCCTTCCGAGGAATTTTTTAATTTTTTTTTCTCCTATGCTTGATGTCTTCTGTATGGAACTGGGAGCCATTAAAGCCATCTCTGGCAGCTGTTTTTAAGTGTTCAGCTGCTCTTAGGTGGCATCTCGTGGTGACCTTCTGACTGCTCAGGGTATGTTATTACAGCACATCTCTTGCATGTGTTTTGACAAGGCTTCCCCTGACCTTTGCCTGAGTCAGGGTTTGACAGATTGTCTCATAAAGAAACTCTGCTCACCTCTCAGAGCCCACCAACCCCATGGGAAGGGTCACCACCCTGCCTCCATGGCTGGGGCTCCGCTGGTCAGGACACGCCATCCCCAATCCCCGGATGGCCCTTCATTGCTGGCCCGCGTTGCCCCTGGCCCCCACCCCCCATCAGCCCGGCAGTCTCGGGTTCGAGCAGTCCCTTGGTCAGGATCTAGTGCCTCTGGCTCACCCCCCTGCCCGGCCCCGTGTGGAGCACTGAGGGCTAAGTAGGGCCCTGTCTGGAGCAAGGCAGTGCTGAGGTCCGGAGCACAGGCTGGGGGAAGGCCTGCCAGAGAGGGAAGCAGCGGCACCACTGCCACCGCTGCCGATCGCCGTGTGGCCTTGGGTCAGCCACCTCCCCGCTGAGCCTCTGTACTCTCAGCACAAGGCCTGGCTCACGGGAACACTCAGGAAACATCCACCCTGAAGGCCATGGGGGCAGTGGAGTGGGGTGTGAGGCCGCCTCCAGGCCCCTTCCTGCAGGAAGCCCTCATGGAGTAAGCAGTAGACTGTCCTTATACACATGGGATCCAGGACCTTCGGCCCAGAAGCACCCTCAGAGGCCACCCAGCTAGCCTCCCGAGGGATCCAGCGGGGACAGGGATGGAGCCCAGCACCAGCCAAGGCCCAGAGAACCACGGGGTGCGGTGCGTGAGCCCAAGGGAGGGACCATTCCACAGGGGCGTTTCCACTGTGAGGCCCAGCTCTTTGGCTTTTCTGTCTCTGCTGGGGAACGGTCAGGCCGTGGGGCCAGATGGGGGGTCACGGCCTGAGTCCTCTCCCTTGGTCTCCAAGCTTCATGACTGGCCTGCTGCCTTGGCATAGCCTGGCATGGTTAGACACTAGCATTCAAGTGTCAGGGGAACAAACAGCGGGCCGGGGGGGGGTTCAGGAGGGGCTTCGGGACGTGCTCTCAGCTGCGCTGCCTCGCAAGCCCCTATCTGTGGGGGTAGGGCCATCCCTGTGGCATTTCTAATAACTGGTGGCCATTTTGAGCCCATGGCCTGGGAACAAGAGCTTCTGCTTCTACCTCTGGCTCCGTCAGCTGTTGCCACCATCCCAGCCCACTACCCTTGCTGGCTGTTTTAGTAACAACCTGTGTGAAAAATGACCTGTTAACCCATAGGAGTGACTTTCCTTAATATCCTTAAAAATTACATGAGCTCTCCCTGCGACTTCATACCTGGGGTGCCTGCAGAGCCTTGGCGTTCACACTCTGCTCACGGCCAGCAGCTGTGATCCTGTCCTACACAGTCTACGCTTTGCACCCCCGTTGTAGATCTGTGAGCATCATGGTCTGGCACCCCAAAACAGGACTCGACTCAACTCACAAAGGGGCATGATGTGCCAGAGGACACGCCCCAGTTTTCTTAGCTTCATTCAAGTACAGCCCTTTCCAGGCCAGCAGAGAGCTGCGCTCCCTCCAGTGTGGCGGGTGGCTGGGTCTTCTCTCAAATGGGGCTCTACGTTCTCCACTTCATGCGCACACCACATCCCTTCCCACAGCTGCAGCAAGCGCGCCTCCTGCTCCTCAGATGTGTCGAGGCAATTCTCGAATGAAATGACCCTTCGCGGAAGAGCAGAACTTGCCACAGGCTCTGTAATTAGAACATTGTCAGCCTTAAAAAAATCTTGATTTAAATTTCAGTTCTTTGTAGGAATTATTCTCTCTTGAAACATAATTGCTCTCCAAACGATTTCCTTTAAGCCAAGGGTGACATCTCTAAATACGTTATTACAAGCAGATGGATTGCCAGTGCCTGCACTTCATTACACGTTTGCTCTGCCCATTTAAAAATGGTCTGGGAGTCCAAATTGATGTGTTAATAGAACAGGTGCTGGGAAGCGAGGGGAGTCCTGACTGGGAGAGGGGTAAGCCCTCCTGTGCCCCTATGAGAGCAGCCAAAGCCAGAAGAGCAGGCCCTTAGAAAGGACGCCTGTGTCCACCTGGAGCCCTCGGCCTCACCTGGGGAGGGCGTGGCTACAAGCTACCAGCATCCAGGGAAGGTCACTTGGAGAAGGCGGCAGGAGTTCCGAGCCCCGGCTTTTCTCGCTAAGTGACACTCAATATATTGGACTGTGCTTTGGAAACCACAGCATCCACAGGTGTGGCAGCCAAATTGTAAGGTCCACGCCGGGAACTGAGTGGGCGGGAAAAGGGCAACATGGGCAAAGGCAGGTCGGCAGAGGGTAAGTGGTCAGACATGGCTGGAGCCCTGGGTGAGACGCGCGAGAGGTCCCCTGGGGGCAGGCGGAAGCAGCATGGCCTTCGCTGTCTGTGAGCTGCACCCCACCCAGTGTGCTGGGGCAGGTAGGAGGCTGTTGGGGTCATGGGGCACAGAGCTCTGCTCTGATCTCCAAGGAACCAACCCACTGCCCTTTTCAGCAGACGCTGGGCATGGTGGACAGAGGCCCTGCTCTGTGGAGCTCTTGGGAATTGGGAAGCTGTATGCTGGGCACACACCCTCTCCGTATACCATTGGCTAAAACCAACCACATGGGTACAGTTGCTCCAAGGGAGGCTGGGAAATGGAGTCCCAGCCGGACGGCCCCTTCCCAGTTACAGTTCCACACTATACTGATGGGAAAGCACCGGTTTTTGGAACGTGGCTCACCAGCCCTCTCTGCCACGCTCTGTCCTCATCGGTAAACTGTGGGCGATGACCCCTGTCCTGCCCTGCCCTCTCGTCAGGGCTCCAGACTCACACTTTGCACCTTCCAGGTGTCAACATGAGAAGCATCCAAACCTGTAAGAATTTTTATGAGTTTATTTGAGCCAAACTGATGACAGTTGCCAGGAAGCAACACCTCAACATATAGAGAGAATGGCAGTTATGCGCCTTATTCTACACATTAGAATCAAAGGAGGAGGCATAAGGGGGTTACGTGAAACCCACTGGTGATTAGGGAGGTGGGAGAAAGCAAAGCGGAGAAATCTCTGGGATTGGATAAAAAATAGAATAGATATGTATTTCTTTTACATTTGTAGGTGTAGGATAGTTAACAGTCCACAAGTAATAACAATAATGAGGGGATTTGTGGTCTGTACTCTGGTGCCCTGGTTGTGCTTTAATGGGTCTGGAAAAAGGAAAGCACTTTGACATTCCAAACGCATGTTATCTGAAATGTAAAAAGACAGCTGACAGGCTCCCGCCCTAGGACAGTACTACCTGCCATGAACTGCTTTTAGGCAGAAAGTGTTAATTTCAAACCATCCTAGATGGTTAGTACTTTGGTCTCTGAGTGTTGAGGCCACCACGCAGGCCTCCCCTGAGCTTGTCAAGTTTCATACATGGCCCCCTTTTCGTCCACAGACAAGGCTTAAATACTTGACTGCATGAGCAATAGGAAGAGGGGCCAAGGTCTTGGGGTCCAAAGACTCTCTTGCAGTCCAAAGACTCTCTTGCAGCAGCAGTGTTGGCTGCTGGTTCCAGGTCCGATGCTGGGGCTGGGGGCGCTCCCAGGTGCAGCTGCATTTTGGTGGGCCTGGGCTCCGGTCCTGGCTTGGAGAGGTGAGACTCAACGGCTGCTTCGTGGCTGGGATCTCTTCTGTCCCAGGCACCAAGGACACCTTGCACCTTAGCAGAAATTTGGCCAGAGGGATAGTTCTCCGCATTAATGGGTATGAATACATGACATGTCCTTGTTCAGAGCTAAACTGAGTGGCTCTCTGAAAAACTGCTTTCCTGCTCCTCAGCCCTCCTGCACCCGTCCCCTCCTCCTGACCGAATGGTTGCCTTGGCCTTTGTCATGCTGCAGATCCTAATACCCTCTGTGTTTTGTTCACAGGAGCAACCAGGGCTTTATGCACATGAAACTGGCCAAAACCAAAGAGAAATACATTCTGGGTCAGAACAGCCCCCCGTTCGACAGCGTCCCAGAAGTCATCCACTACTACACCACCAGAAAGCTGCCTATCAAAGGGGCTGAGCACCTGTCCCTCCTCTACCCTGTGGCTGTGCGGACCCTGTGAGCGGACCAGCCATGCCCTGCTCTGAGACGGGGCCCAGACTTGGAGGAGCCGGAGCCCCCCGCCGACCAGCCCGGCTGCTGTTGCCAGCCGTGTCCAGTTCGTGTCATGTGTATGGTACTAGCACACCACTGCATGTCTCTAGAATGCTGTTGCCACTATGCGGGGGCTGGAAAAGGCCTAGATAAAGACAGAGGGATGGCCAACAAGCCACGCCAGCCCCCACCCCACCCCCTCCTTGAGTTTCTGTGAATTAAAATATTTGCAAATCCAAAGAGATGCCTTCCAGGATGAACAAAGGAGAGCAGCTCCGAGGGGCGGGGCGGGAACTCCCTGGGTTGCAGCTCTTTGTTCTCCAGCCGTCACAAATTCACACCTGTGTGTGGGGCGCAGTTTTCCCACCAGGGCCTCACTGGTGCTGGGAGCCAAATGCGGGCGCTTGGAGAGCCCCCAAGGCCCCTGGAGGCCCACCTCCCCTCTGGGGTGGGGGTGGGTAGGTTGTGTGTGTGTGTGTGTGTGTGTGTGTGCACGCGCGTGTGTGTGTGCACATACGTGAGAACATTGTCACACACAGATGTGAGTAAGCCCGCTAATCCACTTTTAGTCACTCATTGTAATCATTAGATCTTCAAGGAATCATTGTGCGGTCAAAAAGAGGATTGAATTATTTATGAATAGGGTGTGTAAATAAAATAGTCATTTAATATATATTCTTTTCCCTCTTTATTTTTTTACATACATATGCCACAGAGGGTCTCTGAGGGGGTGGTGCTTACCTGCCGGCATGTCTCCTGGGCACGTGTAGGGGGAGCGAGCAAGCAAGCAAGCGAGCGAGGGAGGGAGGCAGAGCCCCAGCTCAGAGCTGAGGCGGTGGGCGGGGCGGGGGTTGGTTTCTTTGTCCCCTGAGAGTCAACTTGCAGGAAGATGCAGCCACATCCTGCCTTCAGGCTCCAGCAATGGCAGCCTCAAATGCCAACCCAACAGCCAGGCTCCCACTTCTGCCTCCTGCAGCCCAGTGATGGCAAGTCTGGGTTCACCCCTTAGGTGCACAGCACTGGGCAGCCTACAAAGGACTCTCCCCGTTATTTAGTCGGGCCACCCCGTGAGGCATTTAGCGCCTGGATAAGGGGGTCTCAGACAGGGGTAGTAACTTGCCCAAGGTCACCCAGCTCATAGGCAAGGGATGCTCTTGAGCCAATTGGCAGACTCTGGGGCCAGTGCTTTGGCTCTACATGGCCTCGCTGTCACCCAGTTCCTGGGGAAAGGCACATCCTGACCTCTTGTGGGACACAGAGCCCCACTGGTCGTCCACACTGCTTTCACAGGTAAAAACCACCGCACGCAGACTCGCTTCTGCCCGGTCCCTGTCCTTGACAGGAGCAGGGACTCTTCCCACACACTCAGGGCGGACCCTTACAAGGCTGCAAGGTGGCTCTGATTCAGCTCCCCTTCCTTTCCTACCTACCCACCACCACACTATAGTTCAATGTGAATGGAAGAAATAGAAGAATCCCACCGTGTAGCCTGAAAGGTGTGGCTTCCGTCTACTGAAGGAGGAATAAGGGACCCAGCCATCATACGAATTTCCCATCTCAGCGCCTTCGCCAGTACCCGTCATCCTGCCTGCCCAGCTGGTCTGCGTGGAATGGAAGTTCGGTAACTTGTCCTCAGCAGCAGGGGCCAAGCTTGATCACCAGCAGGTGCACAACCCCCCGCGATTTGGCACTGCCAGCGCCTCAGAGATGCTTGAGGCTCCCTATTCAGATGTGGAGACAGACGCCAGCGAAGGACAAGGACTTGCCGTGGCCACCTGTCAAGCTAGGACAGAGCTGAACTAAAAGCCATCCGTGTTCCTTTAGTTCTGCCGTGGATTTCTGTGATTTGTGGCCAAAGCTGTGTCTTAGCAACCAGTCTTTCTGCCCACGCAGCCTCCTGGGTTATCCTCCCATGTCCTTGTCCATCAGTCTGGGTGGCCTCCGCCCCTCTCACCTGTGGATCCCACAGACCCTCCACCTCATGAGTTACCACATTGGCAAGGTCGGAGTCTAGTCTCCAAAGACTCAGCCTTGGCCTTTCACCTGTTTTGTATTTTCTGAAACATCCTTTGAATCAACAAAGTACCTGGAGTGATTCATCTCTTCTTCCTCTTCCTTCTTTTTTTGTAAATGAGAAAATGAGTGAAGAGTTAACACTTGACCAAACAAGTGCTTAAAGAGACTGGACCCCTAGGATCCAGTTAGAGGCTGGGGACATGGGCTGCTCCTGGAGCTAGGCCTGGGGGAGGATTCATAGCAGGTCCTTTTCCACCAGCAAGTGCCAGTTCCTCCTCAGAAAACGCTCCGTGCCTGTCATGTGAGGGAAAGCCAGGCCACTTTACCGTCTGGCCTCACCTTTGCTCGTTTTAAGGGATTCCTGCCTCTACTTCCTCAAGCTTCCCTGGGAGGCCCAACCTCCAGCCCCCCTCAGGGACCGAGGCCAGAGGAGCCAGCTTACAGGATGGGAGCTGCTAAAAGGAATTTTTTCCCTTAATTTTATGAGCCTCTCCCTCCTCTTCCTCTAATTGTGGCCATTTCCTCTGTCCGCGTGTATTCATGTTTTCTTGGACATCTAACAATTGAAACAGGTTTTTCCCTTTCAGAAACACTCATATTCAGGTTACTGGTGTTAGTTTGGTTTTTGTTTTGGCTTTTTTTCTTCATCTGCTGCCAATTAATGGAGAGAAATCAGCTGGATTTCTTTGAGGGCGGGGGAGGGGGGAGCTCCCAGCCACACAATATCTCGCCCTCAGCATTTCATCTCAGGACACAACCTCCAGCCACTCACGGTCTCGTTGCTCAAAGCCACCAGACTTTCTTTTCTTTTTTTTCCCTTTTCCTTCTTTGCTGGATTCATTATTGACCATAATGGCCCAGCCACTTCAACGGCTGTGTCCTTGAGCGCTGAAGAGTCAAGGGCCTTTCTGGCAGCCCCTCCCCGCAAGATGGCTCCACAGGGAGAAGGGCGGCTTTGTGGGGAGAGAGGTCCCACCTGCCTGTCAGTGCCAGGGTCCCATCAGAACAGTCACAGATGCTAACATCTTCTCCTGGAGAGAGGCTCAAAGAGCAGCCCTTCACAGGGAGGTGGGCTCCCAGAGCATCTCTGGGCTGGTCCTTCCGCAGCCAGAGTGAGCAAGTGGCCCCACCAACAGGTGGAGCGCTTGACCCGCTACTCTGCTTCTATGGCAGTCACAGGACCCAGAGAGTCTCCTTTTAAGATTTTGAACACCAAGCTCTGGCTGGCTCTCCAACTCTCTTGCAAGTGGTTGATGTCACTTGGCCAAGGTCCTCACAGGGACAGCCAGCCCGGCTTACCCTCAGACCCCAGGGAGAGGGCATGCAGGAACCACAGCGGCGGGGCAGGCTGGCATGGGAAGTCGTCCACAGAGGGCCCTGGCTGGATCCAGTAACCTGCCACATCTGTCTCCACTCTTCCAGATCTGTTCCCAGCAAAGACCAAATGGGGCAAGTTGTTCAGAGGGAGCTAGCATGGCCCAGAGCCTTAGATGTAGGAACATCTTCCAGAAACCTACAGGAACCCACTCAGGCATCCTCTGACATGGCGGCACCCATCAGCCCCCTGTCGCCTCACCTCAGGGCTGTTCTGTCACTGCCAGGAGGCTGGTGCCAGCCACCTACAGCTAAAAAGTTGTCCTGTGAAGCTCTAATTTTGTGATAAACTGAATAATGATGTATAGTTAATGTAAAGCTTTTGGTATACAAGTGTCTTGTTTAAGCGCAGCTCATGGAGCGCACACGTTTTATTTCTTTAAACTGCAGTCATGTGCCCCAGGAAACATTTCATTGCCTTCTGCTTGCCGAGGCAGAGGTTCCACCATCATCTCCCAAAGGCAGATAGTTACAGGGGGATAAAAGCACCTCCCTGCTTCCTAATTAGGAGAGAGTAGAGCCCTAATGAGCTCGTTAAGTGAAAATGAATTAATCTGTTCAGCAAATATTTGTTGAGTGCCCACTGGTCCTGAGGCCCGGGTGGATACAGAGGAGAAGGAGAGCCAGCTCCTATGCTCAGGAAGTTTCCAGTAGCAGGGGCAGGGAATAAAAACAGGCAGCTGCCGGTGACACAGAGGGGGACCCAAGGGGCTGGGGGAGCCCAGAACGAGAGGGAACTGAATCTGCTCGCAGCCTTCAGGAAGAGTTGGGCCTCAGGCCAGGAAGCCATTCTTGGTCTCCCGGAAGGTTTTGGGAGATGCGTGACTGGAACACGACTTCCCCTTGTTGCCCTCACACCATCATCACAGTGACGTCTTAATGCAGCCTGAGGCTGGGAGGCCCGCAGGCCACAGCCCCGGCCCCTCACCCGCGCAGCGGAGCCCCTGAGGGGGCCCTGGGGCCCTGGCAAGCCAGGAAGCCTGCTCTGGAGTGGTCCCCGACCCCCACCGCACCCTGGAGGATCTCACTGCCTCTCCTGCCCCTGCCTCCCAGGGGCGTGGCCTCCTGTCCCTGACAGGCCCCTTTCTCCCCACCTGCCCCCAGGACTCAGGCTTTGGTTCTCCTCTCTCTATTCCATTGACCCGGAATCCACACCTGCAACTCCCAACCCCTCCCACACACAGGACTTGCGCCGTTCGCAGGATGCCTGTGCTCAAAGAGGCCAATGCCAGTGCTCTGTGGCCAGAATTTCCTGAGGGGAAGGAGAAAATGTCTCTGGTAGTCACCGCTAAACTCCTATTTTATATTCTGAGGAGTTCTTTACTTCTATTTCGGTTCAATTGAGCAAACACTGAGCAGGCATTGAAAGACTGCGATGAACGAGCTGGTGACACGGAGCGGGAAGTTGAGCACAGGAAACACCTTCCTCAACCAGAGTCCGCAGGAAGCGGCGGATGGCCAGGTGCCTGTCCCACTGTAAATCGGCAGTGCCAGAAACTGAGGCTCAGAGAGGTACAGGGTCTGGTTCAAGGCCACACAGCAGGTCCCTCTCCACATGCCCTGGGTGTCTGAGAGGGGCCAGCTCAGAGGATCCCCTTGGCCAGTACAGTTCTGAGAAGGCAGGGTGGGGATTCTTCTCAGTTTAGAAGCCACTTAATTCTCACTGGCTCTCTCCCGAGTAGCAACATCCCAGGACTGCAGTGACGGGAGTCATCTCTGGTTTGGGAGACAATTTTGAAGGGGATATGGTCTGACTGGGCAGCAGGGCATCACTAGTGTGGTTCTGGCGCCCTCATGTGGTTCTCTTCAGTATTGCATTCAGCCCCAGGGGGAGGGGAAGGCGGATCCAAGTCACTAGAGGCTAAGACTGGGAAAAGGCAAACAGGTACAGGGCAGGCCAAGCGGAGTGGTGGACGATGGGTGCTGAGCAGAGGTAAGGAGAGCAGAGAAAGGGACAGAAGAGGTGACATCCGAGTCGTGTGTCACATACAGGGAGAGGAACCAGTCTAAGCAAGAGCGGGAAGGCTCTCTGGCTCCCAGTCCAGTG